GTAAACTCCTGGGAAACATAATGCGAGACGACCCGAAAAAAACCCTCTTGCGTCCCACCTGAGGGCCGCGACCCAGACTTTGGGAAACAATGCAATGTCTATCATTGTCCTCTTTTGCTTTCTTCTTTACGAACACAATCCATAATTTTTTATTTGTTCATTTTGAGGGAGGACGGGGGATAAAATATGCAAAAAAAAACAACAACAAAAAAAAACATGAATGTGATGTTGCGGAGCAGATGTGGGGGTCAGAGTGCGGAGCGGCTGCCGTGCCTCGAAGCTTCCACTACATTCCACACCATCTGCGGATGAGCGGCTCGATTGAGCAGAAATGATGAGCTGGAGGAAAACAAACATGCAGGCCCGGGCTAATGAAAGAAGGAGGCGGGGATTTGAACCATCATACGGTACAAATCATACTGTGCAATAATGACATGTCTCCTCACCCTCACCCCTACGGTACACCCCCGACCCGTCACTCCATTTTCTGCCCGCAGCCCAAACAGATCGACACCAACCCATAACCTGACTGGGACGTAAACACATCGCACTGATGAAACCGTCTACTACTGTTCTGTGGATCGCTGCAGCTCGGCTCTGATGACATTCTTTCCTCTTCAGCGATCGCGTCCTCGCATTTTCTGCTTCGCCGATTTTTTTTTTTTCTTTTCCTGTGAAATTTGGATTGTGCGTAACAGTCCATGCGTGTCTAGCACAAACAGAGTTGGCCTAAAAACGTCAGAGAGCGCGGTCGTCGACCTACACGCCAATAAACAACCGCTCCGAGAGTGAACACTGGAGGGCAGTGTTTCCCAAACTTTTTTTTTCTGGGGACTCATATTTTAAAAGTCGCAAACTTTCGCGACCCAAGTCAATAGACATTATTTGTAAACTCCTGGGAAACATGATGCGAGACTACCTGAAAAAAAAAACTCTTGCGACCCACTTGAGGGGCGCGACCCAGTCTTTGGGAAACAATGCTGTAGGTGAACTGAGACAACTGAGTGTTTCTACACCATTCAAATTAATTATTTGTTTTTTTTTTCCCCATATAAGAATTATAAGTAAAAATGACGACGAATATACGATATTGGGTTTGTCTACTGTGTGGTTATGTAAAAGACACGTCGATCCAACATGGCTGCCGCAACGACGCAGCTGCTGCTGGTGGTTTCTGCGTATGGTAAGACAAGCTAATGGTTTGAAGTGCAGCTGGAACCAAAGCAGACATGCTCTGTGATTGGCTGAGGGGGGGAGGGGGCGTGTATTGCAAAATAGCCACAGAACAGCAGCCGCACAGTCGGTCGGCTAAATGCAGACAGGGGGCGGTGTTGGACGGACTGCTGGTGCAGCTGATGTTCTCTGAGAACCCGGGATGACATGTTGGAGGCTGCAGGCATGATGTGGCCACAATGGAGCAGTGTTCGTGTTTCGATGCATCTCATGCTACAGGTAGGTGTGTGTGAGTGTGTGTGAGAGTGTGTGTGTGTGTGTGGGTAGGCAGGCGCTGCCCAGGTATGTTGCAGCCATTGACATTACCTTCATCTTACTAAGCAGGGTCCTTAAAGCCCTTTTCAGATCAGGGGTCTTCTCCGACGGTGAGACTGCCTGCCACTGCAGAGGAGAG